TAATGTTTAGAAACTTCGATGTTTTGATGTCAGCGTCAGCCATAATGCGTTGACCTCTGACGTGCCTTGTATGACGCAATGTCAACTATTGGATGCGAAATGACGATGAGGGGGCGCGGGGGCAGGTCGACCTCCTCACATTCATATCCCCTGATGGAAAATTCTCTCATTTTTTAAAAGCCAACGACGAATCGCAATAACGGCAGGGGCCTCGTGCTTGGGCAGGGAATTACTATTAATACTTCTTTAATGAAGTGATAGAACGCATGATGATGAGGGGTGAAGGGACGATCACAAATACATCCATGCCCGAGGCGGGATTAGAACCCGCTATTCCTCCATCCGAGATCGCCACAACACTACTGCCTTAGGGATCTCCGCTTCAGTAGACAATAGGTGCCTCGCGTATGATTTCCACCCTTCGACATATGAAACTCAGGGAATCCAAAGCATGAAAATGAGGCAAGAAAACATTATAGAGACTAGGAATTCATGTAGACTGTGATGTGTTTGTCGTTTCACTCATCAATTCTCCTATTTGTTCCTTCCTGGAGTCACGGAGGATCAAATCCAGAGAAATTTGTCGATTTGCAGCTCTGACAACTGACACGTGTGAACTGTTTCATGAACTCCCCCCCCCTCTCACTGTCCAAATAATATTATTATACGTTTGATAATGGAGTACTAAGGGTAGTATGTTATTGAAACAACTAGATACTGCGTTGGAATAATTAGATTAACGAAATTCGCAAAATAAGTTGATAGTATTATATATTTTCTTGTTAATCTTGCAATATTCTATTGATTCAAATAAGTGTTCTTTCAAGGAACTACATGACTCAGTTATTGGAATCTTTTGAACTTGATTTGCGTCGATTCTCGTAGTAATAATACTACTCTTTCTTGAACAGGTATACAAACAATTAGAGCTACTAAATTAAATATTGAGGCCTTAATCACAATTATCCTCTACTGCTTTTCTCCTGATTTAACGGAATACATTTAACTAAAGTATACCACTTGTACATACTTTTAAGTGATTAATACAAGTGATTAAATACGTCAAAACTGCTTCACAAGAAAAAAACAAAATTTATTTTCTTGCCGATTTCTTGTTCAGTATTATATTTTACTTCGTGTTCATTAGATATTGTTCACTAGCTCTGACATTTGCAGACGACAACAGAATGAATCATGAATATAAGTTTATAAATACAAACTAACCGTTTAAAAAGTGCTATCTAACCCAATAGAAAAAGCAGTCTTCTTAAAAGAAAACCTTACTATTCTCCACCGAGAGATCTGCCTACCACCTTCACTTGAGAGAGGTTTATGAACAAGCGATGAAATAATGAAATGAAATTACAAACCTTTCTCGTTAGAGATCATACAATTCATGTTTTATGTCCCGTTATCATTGTATTTGCGTGCATACGTGTTCGAATTTCGCCAAAATTTGTATTCCCTGTTCGATGTAGCTACAGTCGCGGTCCTTTGAATTTGAAATGGACATTTGATTTTTGAGAGTTTCATCGCAAATAAAAATGGCGCATGTCTTATTTTCGTCGAATTCTCGAAATTTTGGAAACTTACAAGCGTTTTTACTTTCTTCGGCACCTTCTTACATATGCGCCGTAGGAAGAGAATGGGCCAGTACCGAAAAGCTAGCTTACACTAAAGATACTAAAAATCTAACAAGTGTGAGAATGTTTGAGCCATTTTGTAGCATAGCACGTAGTCCCCATTTGTCTCACAACTTCGAAAAATCCTAATAATTTCAATAATAACAATCAACTCATTTTTTAACTGAAGGAAACTTTTCCTTTGACAGTCTGTGTTGGCCCTACTACAAAATATGGTTTCAAATTGAAAAAAAAAAAACCGCACCATAATACATCTATCCTCGGGCATAATGTTATAGAATGGCGATTTACGTTATAACTACATGCTATTCGTAAGTTATGTAAAAAAAATTTGGTAAAGACCATGGGTTTTCTATATAGTTTGATAGAATACTAAAATAATTTCACTCAATACCCAGCAAGAATTCGCACCTAACAGACCAGAGACGAATTACGTATGCAAAACTCTTACTTTTACTTTAGAACCGCCTTCTCAGAAGTGATTACATTGCTTCTGATCTGTTTATGCAGGGGCCTAATATAATTGTGCTGATAACATAATTTAAAAGAACAGACATTCTTTGACGCACTCGCACCAATCAATTAGCCGCATCACTCCATTCTTTTTTTTTTTTCTTTCGTTTTTTCGCTAGGAGAGTCTCACGACCAGTAAACATTTTTTGTCGTGACACGCACTTTTTCCTGCCCTTTCCCTAGATAATTATTGCTCTTCGATTTCCCCATTGTTTGTAGAAATCAGCCACTTTGAAACGCGAACATGTTTGTTTACACAAATGAAAATCTTTACTGATAGAAACGTTTGATTGTGTTACAATATCAGAAGCCTTTTTTTATTCATTCCTCAAATTTACGCAGGTAACTTCTTCCCCTCCATCATTATTAGCAACTGGCAACGCAATATTTTTTCAAGAGATTTCTACTTCTTTGTAGGAAGTTCCCACTGAAAGATGAGATTGACAGTTTTAATATCTAATGAACAAGACTGCGGCTCTTAAAGTAGCCCGTATATTTTCGCAAATAGTCATCTTTGGAACTGCTTGAACGTCAGGCCCTGCGAATATGATATTTTATTTTGAATGTGATTGTGAAGAACAGTTCTTGAGAAAAACAAACGCAGAAACAGCTTATATTTTACTTGCGCTCGTGCGTAACAATAAATGATTCAATCCTTGAAAAGGAAAAATACAGAGTCGAGTCTTGTGTAGTAAGACTCCGATACAGACGAAAACCGTGTCAGATTGCAGTTAAATGGTCAGCATTATTACTCAACAGTGTGAAGTACAAGTCTTACGTATCTAATCTCTATGACCGGATTTAGTTGAAACTATCAAAAGATGCATGGACATTAGCACACAGTAACAATTTGAGGCAAGAAGCAGAGATCATTGAGTTAGCGACACTACGTCATGCACTTCGATCGCAAATATCGCAGGGCAGATTTCCGATCCTATCTTATCAAACATTCAGGCGTTTCAAGATATTTGAAGAAGAAATAAGAGATATCTACAAGTACAGTGGTGATGACTGGGAGGTGAATGGGAACGAATTCGTCATTAAAAAACAATGTTAGTAAAAAATAGTATATTTCAGAACATTAAATATCTGATAGTAACTATCAGCATTGCACATCTGTCATGTCAGCGCTCTCTTATACAAGCGATAACTTACGAATAAAATTCTTTGGTCTGTTTAAAATAGAGGAAAACAAAGATTACAACTGGAAATAGTTACACTGGAAGGTTAATTTTAAGGTTGAACTTCTTACCTCTTAGCTTTAAGATTACTTTAGCATTCCAAATTATTTTTTTTTACAAAACAATTTTTAACAGATTTCTATAAATATTACAAGATGCACTAGATAAACAACAGCATTTTTTCTAACGATTTGTATTGTTTTCAGTGCGAGCGTAGGCAATTATAAAACATACCAAATTTCTTGTGTAAATAAATTTTAGTCAATATTTCATTCAGGATACCTGAGTGAAAAAAGCAGACAAAAATATGAAGGAAGTGCGCGACTGATATCGCATACAATCTTGATAATTAAAAAAACATTTGAAGCACCTTTGGTATGGATAGCACAACACTCACTACACATACACACATCCAAAAATATGAAACACCATAAACAGCAAATACGTGCAAACGAATATGGATGCTATACTGTTTCTACTAGCAGTATGAGTTAGAAAAGCAGGCTGCTTCAATTATCATTGAGATGCCCCATGTAAAGCCTACATAAACATTTATACATCAATATGGATATTTTCAAATAATGTTTTAGGAAATAGGCACTTTGAAAAGACAATAGCAAAGGAATTTATCTTTCGTAGGACCACTGTACAAAACTTTTAGCAATATGCTTATGTTTTACAAACAACTAGTTACATTTATAGATGCCTCAAATATCATAACTATTAACATGACAATAAATTACACCTAAGTAATACATTTTTCCTTCACGGAAGGATAGATTTAATCAAGTAAATGTGTATTATTGATCTGCTGTCAATATGTTCTCGTACATCAGAATAAAATTTCCCGCATTAAACTACACCATTCTAGCCAGGTTAAGGATAATATGATGAATTACGTAAATTATGAGGGTTTAAAACAAGTAACAATTACGGTAAATATTCGTACATCATTAAATGATATGTTAAAATGCATTTCACAATATGTAAATTACACGACTCTATACTGCTAGTAGAATTAAATACCAGTAAAGGCACAAGGTGCAGTTTCATGTCAGTCTTAATAGCATTCTTCAAGGATGCTATGAATAAACAGGCATTGGTCATGCTCAAATATTTAAATTGCTAATTAATATTCTAAATACTCCTAATAAAAACCTCAGTCCTAGAATTATTTTATGAGATTTTCAAATGGCAACAAATTATTAGTTAACAAAACCAAATCATTTCAGATCACATAATATATATGGTGAAATGTTTGGCAACCAAAACGGTTATCACTATTGGAACATGACTTTCATGAGTCTTTGGTAACAGTAGTCCCAGGAATTATCTAATGCATTCTATGTGACAAAAATAGTCAAATAATTACTGCTTGAGTAATAGTTTTCAAAACTTTAAACGTTAGCAAAAACTTTTTATCGTTATATTGAGCACAAAAATTCTGCACCTGACGTAATAAACAAAACAAAAACGCATTGTAGAAACCTTGGGACCAACGAAACTGCATCTTTGAGTAATTTTTGGAAGATGTGTATACTCATCCATGCATCTGCAACCATGCCTATCATGTCCAGCGACACTTTACGGGTTTACGAGCAAACTATACACTGTACAAAATCCGTCGGCAGTCTTTTCGTTCGTTAGCGCGTACTCGGGCCACTTATCTCTTTTTGTTTTTCGACAGTTTTGCCAACTTCCGCCGCTTGAGGATCATCTCGTAGAGCGCCTCCATGCCCTCGTGCAGCCCCTCGCCCGTGATGGCGCACGCGGGCTGCACGTGCCACATGTGCTGCGGGGAGCTGGGGGTGGACGACGAGTTGGGGCCGCCCCCGCCCCCGGCGCCGCCCCCCGCGCCCAGCTCGTGCAGCCCCAGGAGCTTCTCCAGCTCGCGAGGCTCGCGCGCGCCCGGCAAGTCCTGCTTGTTGGCCAGGATGAGGATGGGCACCCCGACGTTGTCCGGGGACTTGGCCGTCCGCACCAGCTCCATCTTGGCCTCCTCCATGCGCTCGATGTCCACGCTGTCCAGCACGAACACGATGCCGTCCGTGCAGCGGGTGTAGCTCTTCCACAGCGGGCGCAGCTTCTCCTGCCCGCCCACGTCCCACACCAGGAAGTTGATCCCCTTCGCCCTCCCCAGCGTCCCCTTCACCTTCTCGCAGTTGAACCCGATCGTGGGCACGGTGTTCAGATACTGGTCGAACTTGAGCCTGTACAGCGCAGTCGTCTTGCCCGCACTGTCCAGCCCCAACATCACTACGTGCAACGTGCCCTGAGTCGACGGCAGGGCGTCCAGGAGGGACGAATTCTTCCCCATGTTTGCTCCCATCACGGTTTTATTTTTAATTTATCGACACACGCACGCACACAATTGCTCCGGAATCAAGTGGCCTCGTGCATGGCTCCACCCCCGCGTTGCTGCGGAGACGGGGACGCAGCTTCAGGAGAGACGTCGTTGAAGGGCTGCACTTACGAGTCTCCGGGCGAAGACCCGTCGGCACTTCCTCGTGGAGGGGGCGGCGGCGCGGGGGCGGCGGCGGCGGTTGCAACTCACGCGCCCGCGCACAGCGCCGCCGCTGGAGCTCCCAGCCGGGGGCGGGCGCGGATTTTATTTTGTTGGCTGACCCACTTCACGTCTCCGCTGTGCCGTTAGGCGCCACCGGCCCCGGCCCGGCCAGGCCGGCCCCGCGCGCGCCTGCCGCGAGGGCCGACAGGTTCCTCTTATGTAGGTTCCGGCACACCTCGCATCAGGCACACGCGGTTTACAAACAAACGCGGCGCGGCGCGGCGCGGCGCAGAGGGCCCCGCTGCTCTAACAGCTGACGGCGGCGGGCATGCGCACTGGCCCCCGCCTCTATAGAGCAAATCAATCACTGCTGCGCGGCCTGTCGCGCGACACAGATGTTTCGGGAGCGAGAGCGCTGACGTCGGCCGGCGATCAACGCGAGGATCCGGGCCAGCGCAGAGCTGCAGGTGCGACGAGGAGCTGCGCGTTCACTCGCGAGATGAAGTTCTGAGAGGCACTTTTGGGCTTTCCACCGCTCTTCAGCGCACTCGGAGGTACTTTTGACTCACTGCAGCGGCGCACTCACTTCGCGACGAGCGGTCTCTGACGAAGAAACGAACTAAAACAGCCACTAGCGATCGTTGTTTACGTGGGAACTATTGACCGCCGTAGATGCGGCGAAGGGCGTCGCGCCGTCCCTTCCGGATCGAAGCCCTTGCGCAGGGCGCCAAGCACACGCGACGGCGGCGCGGCCTCGCAGCCGCCCAGCGCGGATCCCGAGCCGATTAGCGACGGCGGCGGCCCTCGGAGCGCCTCTGGAGTAACGGATCCCGCATCACGGCAGCCGCGCCACAGCACCTGCCGCGCCGCGCCCTCGCCTCGCCGCTTGCAACTGAGCACTGGCCGTCGGCCGCCGTCGCCTATAGCCCGACGCTTCGCCCGTCGGCCGCCAGGGGCGCTAGCGCCGGGGCGACCGCCGCGCCGCGCGGGAGACGGGCGGGATTTCAAGCCGCGGCGGCGCCGGCCTTGAAACGCAGCCGTTGCCGCCCGCGCCAGACGCCGCGCGCGCCGCGGACCACAGCCGATTTAAAAGCTTCAGAAGCCCTTGGGCCTACGTTCATTTGGGGGCACCCTATTCTTACTCTCTCCTATCTGCCCTTCCCTTAATGTAAGGACACGTTTTTGTTAAGAAAAACTAAACTTCTCATCACTGAGTAACATTCTCGCATCAACCAGCAATTACATACTATAAATATTATCCAATGTTGCACGACACATCACTCCATCACATGGATGTAGCCAAACATGCATAGTTTTTTTATTACACAATTTTCTTTTATAGGGGATTAGCCCTTTATCATTAGGTACAGGGTCAGGAATTAGACTACGTTAGAAGACGAAAGGGTGAATTTACCTTTGGGGAATCTGGGAGTAGGATTTTCCAAGTAGGAAATTACTTGCGGCTGGAGATGACAGTATGGTTTGAAAAAATATATGAAAAAGTTTTGAAATGAATTGGACTGTAGTGAAAATATCAAATCCTTTATGTAATTGATTATTAGAAACAAACGAAGGTGCTTTAAAAAAGTATGAACTAGTTTTACTACAGTAGGAGCAACACCTAACCAAATGGGGCAACCATAGGCAAGCAAAAGGGCAGATTTATATAAGAGCTAGGTAATATCGGCATTGAGGGCGGATTTTCTGTTAATTAGGGAATATAATTTGAACGGGGTGGCTTGTGGTTTATTAGTTTTGTTTATGATATGTGGTTTCCAGTTAAGCAGCATATCAAGAAAAACGCCGAGGTTTTTGGTTGGTTTATTTGTTGGGGTCCAGGGGATGACCGAATTGTTTTTAGAAACATTTTGGAGATTTTTGACACTCTGCAGATGCATAGAATTGAACTACACTTTCATTTGCACCGGGCCACCCTAATTTAGTGATACGAACATCGTCAACAGAACAACGATGTTGACAAACATCGTACAATAATTGAAACATCGATGGTAAAAATACATCGACCCAAAACAATCGATGTTTTTAAACATCGATGTTTGAAAGCTGATTTAGGCCTAGTAACCTCTCATAATTAAATTCGTGCACAAGAGAATTTAGTTTGGTAGTGGCCGTGTATATTAATTTATAACTAAAATTTAACTGAAGGAGTTGTAAATGCCTCCATGTGCGAAATTTGAGGAACTCCGAACGAAATACCAAAGCATCAGAAATGTCTGGGGCGAGGAATGGTCTGCTCGATGACAGTAGCACACACCGCGTTGGCTTGGATCCGTCGACAGATAATAGTTCCATCACTTATTGTTTCATAATTGAAGTTTTACAAAATGTAATTATGAGAAGCTTTTTCATCCACCAACAGAACATTGAGAACGTAAAAACATTGAGCACAAAACATCGATGTTCAAAAAACGTCGGCTACAATACATATTTAAAAGCATCGTTCAATACAATGTTTAAAGCATCCACGTTTTATAGAATAGTCGATGGTTTGAAAACGTCGGCATCGACGTCACATGCCTAGATCTGATATCTACTGACCTCTAGATCTGATTATCTACCGGCCGCCGTGCACGAAATAGCGTGAGTTTTGACTGTGTATTTAGGTCCATTAGAAGCGATTGGGTTATAGGATTCAAGCGTTTCACTACAACTTTCTAAACTTAACGTGCAATTCGAGATGAATTCGTGTATCGGAAATAACCCACTGTTTTATTCCAGGTATTATCAACGACATTAAATAAAAAGGCGTAATTTAAATGGCAAACTGAAGTGAAAACTTCCACAACACGTTTTTACTCAGACTGATTCGAATCTAATCTTTGATTCTTGAGAAAGAAATCTGTCGCGATAGTCTTATTTCATTTGTATGCAAATATTCATTTTCATTAATAATTAATGTAAGAATATTTTGTTAATTTCTGTTTTTTTCGAAGGTGCATGTTAAACCTTAATTCCTTGCTTGTGGAGAATAGAGACATAACGTGCTATCTCAATTGATTTTTTATATTATAATTACTGCGCTGAAGGCAATTTTTTTGTTTAATACGCGTTGTATATATATAATTGTATTTGATTATATTATTGATTTTAAAGGATGTATCACCTTCACAATGTTTATTATGAACTAATAGAAGAGTGTTTAAAGCAAAAACTCTAGAACGGTCGTCTTATAGTACTTGATAATTTCGCGCGTATTCTTGCTCCTCGCCCGCTAGCCAATCAGTGACCGGGGCCGAATGAACGCGCAGTTTGCTTACCAGTCCCAGAAGGCAGCTGCTGTCCAGCGAAGGTGCGGGTGTAACAACAGGTACAAACGACAGCACGCTGACTAAACGAAACTTCAAACTTTTTCACCCAATTCAGAATATATGAATTACACCGTCATGGCAGGAAGGTATGTTTCCAAATTTGAATTATTGCAAAGGTGCAATATTATCAAATTTAATGCATATAAAGCTAAATTATTGGTTTATAATACAAAGTTAACCGATTTAATTCTCAATTTCAAAGGGAAGCGCAAAAATAAATAAAATCAAAAAGTCGATGAAAACATTGAATTTTCAAGTTTAAATTATATAATTTCCTCAGTTAGATGGTCAAATACGATAACTTTAAAGATTACTAAATAACTTCTTTCTAAATGAAAATGCAACTCACAACTTAATCCAGGAGCGGATTGACGGAATAGGAACATTTTTTCGCTAACAAATAGCTTATTATGAAACTTGCTGGCAAAAATATTTCCGGATAATCGTTAAAACGAAGAAAATCGTATCGCAGCATGAGTTATGTTTAGCCTGTTAATGAATTTACCGATAGGAGGAATTTAGGAATTCTGCGACCTGGTGACTTGAGGAATTAAAATTTTTCCCGTAAAAGGCAAACACGCTTTTAAAAATATTTCAGCGTGATTCCACATTTTCAACTTCAAATATCGTGACAAAGCATGAATTTTAAACATGGTCGATACAGAAGTGAACTTTTCATTGTTACAACTCATTAATACACTTATACCTATTGTTAGTATCAAGATAAGCGTTGCTGTTGCCAATTAGTTGTTACAGTTCAATTGTCATGAAAAGGTATCGAATTTGTTGAATGGTGCGGCCAACAGTTTTTTAAATACTTTTTTAAACTTTCATTCGATTTACTGAGAAGGTAATTCCACACGTTTGAAGGCGTTTTTCACAATCCATTCTGTCTTGACCAAAGGCGACATTTAAGCCTGTCAAAGGAGGAGCGAGTGATCTCCGCAAAACGACGCATCCCCTCTTAATAACTTCAATGCCGAAAGCCAGTCGCTTAGCCACTACTCGGAGACGCGCGGGGCAGGCCGTGCATTCACGGGTTGATTGATCAGTGATTCCAAGCGCATCATCGACTCAGGTCATTAGCCCGGTAAGTGTAGTGCATGATTTCTCACAGGATGTGGCGGTGATCTTCCCCCCGGTGGATAACGAGATCCGCAGACCTACGCGTGGGCTTGCGAAGCTTTTTTCTTAACGAGGTAACCGGAGGGGTATCGCCCCAGTCGGAACAAGCTCTAAGCTCCCGACTGATCTCCCTCCATTTGTGGTAGTGCAGTGCATGCTGGTACAAGTGTAAGAAAGTGGTGAGGAGACGTCAAGGAAGAGGAAGGAAAGATCGCTCGGAGTCTGTAGCCGTTTTGTTAGGGAATCACTCCGGCATTCGCCTGGTGTTGATCAGGGAAACCAGCGAAAACTACACACCGATCAGAGTAACCGGCCCCTACAACTCTGCTTTTCAGCAGCAGATGAATTCGACATAGC